TGACATTGCCTCCGTACCTCTGGTTCCATCCTGTTGTTTCTGACGATGATTGTAATGCCCCACTTTTATTTCCCGAAAATCATAATAAATTTTACAAATTTATTTCAAAAACAATATTTGAGGCGCTACTCATTTTCAAAATAATAATCAATACTAAACACATTCTCAATACTCGGCAATAATCAATACTCACAATCCATATTAATATCTCAATAACACCAATCCAATAATAATCTTAGGAAAAATAATCCCTATCAATCTTTCAATAATCCACTACTAGTGAAAAACAATAATCAATAATGCAATAATATTCAAATTCAGTTTTTAAGGCGGAAGCATTTGATCAAATTTAAAGACCACCACTCGCGTCCCTTCCGCCGTGCCCGCTTAACTAACCTGCATCCATAAAGAGTAGGTGGGGATGAGCACAATAGGAAAATCGAGGTGCTCACCGCTATGCAATAATTAATATCAATAATCAATAACAATAAAGGTATGGTCGCAACATGTATACGAATCAATAATTGTCCCATCTCATTTCAATAATCAATAATGGTCTCATGTGCACACCTATAGCAATAGACTACTGCCGAGCTATATACCGAACGCCTACCTTGAATGTCTTACAATGAGTGCCCGGCCAGCAGGAGCAATAATCCACCCCGAATGCCAAAACTCACGCCTTGGCCTTACATACGAGGATCACCAGCCAAGGCTCACGCCCTGACTGCCAACAATAATAAAGGAGACTACCCGAAGGTACGTTCTATAGCTACGGGGATAACCATTCGACGGCCAATATAGCTCACATCGAAGTCTACATGGTTCACATGCATACTTTGATCATACCACAATAAAAGCAATTAATTAAGGTATAGCAAATTTAACAATTACAACCCACCTGGTAAATCGGTAGAAAGGCACACAAAATCAAGTTAGTATGATGAGGCTCGACTCCTCAAACACCTACATTTCAACGAGATAATTTATCAATAAACTATCTCACTATTAGAATTTATCATAAAACCCATACTTAATAAAAATTAAGACTTAAGGGTTTTAATCGAATTTTTTGTGGACTTGGAACTCTCTCATTTTTATAAAATAGGACTCGGAGCATTAATTTGGAGTCTCGGGACTTAAAATAATTTTTACTAATTTTTCTCATTACAAAAATATTTTTAAAATTAAAATCGGTATTAAAACGGGTTTCCGGAACTCAAAATATGCTTAAAAGGCTAACTAGGCTACCAATTAAAATTACTGGGCCGCATTAAAGAAATTGGGCCGAAACTGAGGTCTGGCCCAACGCTCATATGTGCTGAGCGCACGCGGGCTGAAGGAAGGCTGGACGCGGGCCAACAGCTGTGAGGTAACCGGGCTGGCTTTTCTATAAAAAAGAAAAGGGCTACATTTCGCAAGCATTGTGGATAGAACATGCAACCTCATAGACGGAAAAGTGCAAAGCAACAACCGGGCTGAAGGAAGGCCGGACGCGGGCCAGTTGCTGTGAGGTAACCGGGCTGCGCGGGCTGAATTCGGGCCTTACGGCGCGCGTTGAAGCTGGCTTTTTGTAAAAAAAAAAAAAGAAAAGGGCTACATTTCGCAAGCATTGGGGATAGAATACGCGACCTCATAGACAAAAAGTGCAAAGCAACCACTGCACTACAACACCTAGTCGAAACTCTAATTGAAAACATAAACAATTAACATTTAACGAAAAAACTGCTATTTGACAGAAACAGAAATCG